CCGAATGCGAACAAAAGAGAAACCGCTATAACTCGGAATATGTCATGGAAAATCCTACAGATGCACCACCGTGGCGAGACCACTGCTGACTCCGCCTCCTTGGAGCCTTGCCAAGTCGTTTATTGATTGATTTCAATTCTCAGGGGCTCAATTCACTGTGCCTGCGTCAGCGTAATCACCACATTATTCCTCCATGATGTAGGGTGGAAAGCGACAAAATTCGAGAAACATTCGTATAGAAATACGTCATTTTGCTCAACTTTTCGGCGATTGTTGCCTAAGCATGGGGAGGATCCTTTTCTTATGGCACAGACGCTGGGAAGGAAGTTGAAGTGGCAAAGATATGCGAACGTTACTCGGTTTGGTTACCTTGCGCGTGCTTCCCCTTCTTCACTATGGCACTGACTAAAAAAGGACCTGAAAAATGCGTACCTAAAAACAATGATCATAAAAACGATCAGCTTAGATTTCTCCGCCCTAGACCTGAAATCAAATAGAAATGAAATCAAGCAACAGACAACATAGCAAAGCGCCAGCGTGGCGGAGCAAGCGTGGCGGACTAAGCAGGTGGTACCGCCACGATGTAATTGTAGGATTTTCAAAAGTGATAAATTCCGAGTTATAGTGGTTTCTTAACAAAAGGAGTTCTCTATGACATGTACTGAGGCATGCTTTGAAAGTTGTTAAACTAGAAAACAAATGCTTATCTCTAACCGAATAAGTTGGCCGCCGTAGTCAAGGAAAAGGAATTGGGCACTATTCGTGGCCGTGAATGATATAGGACCGGCCAATTTCAATATGTGGAAAATCACGCTGAAATAATTCTTCTGACATCTATTGGATATCACCTACCCTAACCCTAAAAACAGTGTTATTTAAGAATTCAAATTTGGCTTTTTTGACCCATGGGTTTACTAAGCGATACTATCTTGTAAGCCGTTAGTTTATGCGGCCATATCAGGGACAAGGATGAAGCAGGTTTCTCTTCTAATAAGTACAGAAACAGCTAAAAGCGGGAATACAAATTGTATATGCTAGCTGAATGGGTGATGTGAAGTCGTGCAAGAGTTGACTGGGTCTTGCGTGGTTGATCCTAGGAGATAATCCTCTTGGAAATTGCTGATTAGCTTCTGCGGCTGCGTTACGCAGTTACCAGACTGATTGTTCCCGGCATGAGCGTCAGCTCTATTTAGTTTGGTAATTCTTTCTTGAATAATTTTGAGCTATGTACGAACTCAGCAGTTTGTGACTGCTTCAACGGCATATATGACTTGAGTGACTTTCGTTAGCTGCTCTGCTAAGTTGCACATGCAAGCCAAGTTTAAGAGCACAACTCAATCCAAAAATAGCGAAAATTTCTGAATTGAATTATATCGTACTGATGGCGACATGCGAAGATTTCTTGAAGTTCTTAGATAGGATTCCCAGTAATTAATCAATGTCATTTGTGGACTACTGCAGCGCAGATCTTTCGGTTTTACACAAACAAGGGGACGTAAATCGCTCGTCTGGAAATTAAAACTTGCGGTAAATGTCAACCCAAGTGAAGTGATTGTGCTCGGTAACACTAAAAAAATAAGGCACACTTATTGTAGCATCATTCATTGACCGCCACATGCGGAACGAGCTACCTAAAAATTTAGCAATATGAATACGATGGTTCTTTATTGAACTGCACATTGTCCATTTTTAACATACTCTTGTTCATACAGATAAGACCTTACAAAACCGACAAGGGATAAATCTAGCCTGAATGCAAGGCACGCAAAGCTTATTGTCTTTCTTATGTGGCACAGCTGCAGGGCAAGCGGATGTAAACGAAAACGAAACAGTTATGCTTTCCATGTTTTGCATATAGCAAACTACCATCGTCTGAGCTTTCAAAATGCAAAAAACATCAAAACGATAGCTTACCCAAAAACTTCAAGTTGAACACCAGAGCCAGGAAAGGGAACCAAAACACGATTGGTTGCTCTCTGGAGCACATTCTGAGTCGCTCCGCCATTTAGAGAATTACGGTGAAGCAAGTGCATTCTTGACATTGCACTTATCACCTACACAAGTTTTATAACAACAGTGTTTGAATTTCAAATTCGGCCTTTCTATTCCACTAAGTTTATTAGATTTAACTTGTAAGTCATGTCCATGCGAACAAAATCAGGATTGGTTCTTAGCCCCTAAAGACATTCGTCCTCTGGCATTGCTGGTTAGTTTCAGCAGCTGCATTTTGCAGTAACCAGATGCTGATTCCTGGTATGGTTTTCAGCAGCTTTCCTACAGCGGAGAAAACAGGAAAATGTAGGCATTTAAGCAGCTTGACGGTTAGCTCAGTAATTTGAAGTCTAAGGATTCACTTAACGTCAGCTCCATTTTAGTTTGGTATGATGATTGGGTCTAACCTAACTAACTTCATTGAGCCATTAAAATGGGCTCCTTGAGTTACGTTAAAGTCTGTGTATGCGTGCATTGCATTTTTATGACTTCCGCTCCCTAAAGGCTGCATTTACGAAGGGACTGATATCGATATATGAAGTACAAAAGTATTTTGCTCAAAAAATGTAAAAGAAATATTACTAGGCGCTGGTTTGAAACCTTAAATGATCAATACCATTGTAAACATGTGAAGAACACAATTTTATTTTTTAATATAACAATGAAAAAGTGACATATAAAAAATTCTTTAAAATTTTTAGGGATGTATGCTTACATTCCAACAAATATTGGAGCTATTCAAAAGAATCTTTCTTTGAACCATGATGCTAGTTTTGCGTTCATCGTAAGGACCGCAGATGCTCTCGAACTGCTGAAATGGTTGCTTTTGGGTTGTTTCTTTGATGGCCTGGCAAAAATTATGACTGTTCTAGGTATGTCTTATGTGCGCTCGAAGAATATTGCA